ACATACATACATACATACATACATACATACATACATACATACATACATATATACATACATACATACACACATACATACATAGATGCCTACCTACCGACCTACCTATCGACCTACCTACCGACCTACCTATCTACCTACCTACCTATATACCTATCTACCTACCTACCTGTCTACCTACCTACCGATCCACCTACCTACCTACTTATCTACCTACCTGTCTGCCTACCTATCGGCCTACCTCATACATATGTGCCTGCCTACCTACATATCTACCTACATACCTGACGACCTGCCTACATCGAGGTGAAAGAAGGCCCGGGCAGGCCCGCGCAGGGCGGGCCCGCCCTGGCGCTCGCTCTTTCTCTCTCTCTCTCTCTCTCTCTCTCTCTCTCTCTCTCTTCGGGGGGCACGGCCCCGCGGCCCGGTCGGGCGGCGATACGTCGTCGGGCGCACGCCAACATGGATGGAAGCCTCCTCCTCCTCCACCTCCTCCTCCTCCTCCTCCTCCTCCTCCTCCTCCTCCTCTCTCCTCATCTCCCTCCTCGCATCCAACTCATCAGCACCATCACCACCACCAACCACCATCAATCATACATCATCATCATCATCATCATCATCATCATCATCATCATCATCAGCATAATCATCATCATCATCATCATCATCATCATCAGCATCATCATCATCATCATCATCTCATCATCATCATCATCCATCTCTCATATCATCATCATCATCATCATCATCATCATTCATCATTCAATCATCATCATCATCATCATCATCATCATCATCATCATCATCATCATCACATCACATCATCATCATCACATCATCATCATCATCATCATCAGCATCAGCATCATCATCATCATCATCATCATTCATCATCATCATCATCATCATCATCATCATCATCCATCATCATCATCATCATCATCATCATCATTCATCATCATCATCATCATCATCATCATCATCATCATCATCATCATCATCATCATCATCATCATCATCATCATCATCATCATCATCATCATCATCATCATCATCATCATCATCATCATCATCATCATCATCATCATCATCATCATCATCATCATCATCATCATCATCATCATCATCATCATCATCATCATCATCATCATCATCATCATCATCATCATCATCATCATCATCATCATCATCATCATCATCATCATCATCATCATCATCATCATCATCATCCATCATCCATCATCCGTCATCCCTCATCCCTCATCCATCATCCATCATCCATCATCCATCATCCATCATCCATCATCCATCTCCATCTCCATCTCCATCTCCATCTCCATCTCCATCTCCATCTGCTGCTCCTCCTCCTCCCCCTTCTCCCCCTCCTCCTCCTCCTCCTCCTCCTCCTCCTCCTCCTCCTCCTCCTCCTCTTCCATCTCCATCTCCGTCTCCTCTTCCTCCTCATCATCCTCCTCCTCTTCCTCCTCCATTCCTTTTCCTTATGAAATCCGCCGACCCTGTCGGCGTGTGGGAGAAGCTTTCCCGTCTTCCCCACAGCGTCGTCGCCTCTTCTGCTTTCCGAGGGTTCCCAACAAGTCCACACAAAAATTGAGCAATGTCGTCCTTTAGTCGAAGGGAAGCCCCTTCCCTTGATCCCTTCCCCCCCGAGGCAACTCCCGGGGGGGGGTCCCCCTTACTCCCAGAGGGGGGGGTCCCCCCCACTCCGCGGGGGGGGTCCCCCCTACTCCGCGGGGGGGGGGTCCCCCCTACTCCCGGAGGGGGTCCCCCCTCGGATACGCAGCCCCCCGCCTCTCATCCTCCTGCGTCCTGGGACTCCGTTGGCCCTCCGGGGCCGTCTGCGGGCCCTTTGATCTCTTCCCCGCCAGTGGGGGGGGGGTCCCGGGGCAACTCCTGGGGGGGTCCCCCCTCGGATACGCAGCCCCCCGCCTCTCATCCTCCTGCGTCCTGGGGCTCCGTTGGCCCTCCGGGGCCGTCTGCGGGCCCTTTCAGTATATCTTAAAGCTCCTTGGAGACCTTGCGCCATTTTTGGACTCTCTCGGCAGCCTCTGGCGGCACTCTTGACAGCCTGCGGGCGTTTTTGGACCTCGCTTGACGCCATCTTGGAACCTTCTCGGGCCACTGAGGGCGCTCTTTGCCTATCTTGGCACTCTCTGGAACCGTTCCCGAACCCTGGAGGAGGCCTCTCGAGCTGTCTTCGGACGACCTTGCAGGCATCTGGCGCTGTCTTCGAGCCATCTGAGGGCATCTTGGACTCCTATACCTCCATTGTCTTCGTCATCGCTGCCTACAGGGTCGGCAACGGCCGTAAGGCCTTCGCAAAAAATATTGCTAGTCGCACCTCGAGGACAGTTTGTGGGGCGGGCCAAGCGTTTCGCCTGAGACTTCCTCACGGCTCATGACTCTGAAGCTTGAAAATTGGCAAAAGTTTCACGGATTGAGGGCGGGTGGTTTTCGAAATGTGGCTCTCGCCTTAGCGCGGAGCACGTTCGTTTTAAAAATTTGCCAGAGTTTCACGGATTGAGGGCGGCTGGTTTTCAAAATGTGGCTCTCGCCTTAGCACGGCGCACATTCGTTTTAGACATTTGAGGGCAGGTGGTTTTCAAAATGTGGCTCTCGCCTTAGCGCGGCGCACATTCGCTGAAAAAATGCAATCGCTTCACGGATTGAGGGCGGGTGGTTTTCAAAATGTGGCTCTCGCCTTAGCGCGGCGCACCTTCGCTTCACAAAATTTACAAGAGCTTCATGGATTGAGGGCGGTTAATGTTCAAAATGTGGCTCTCGCCTCAGCGCGGCGCACATTCGTTTCAAACAGTTGCAAGAGTTTCACGGGTTCCCATCATCGACATGCCAGAAATGATGTTTTGAAAAGCTTCAAGATTATGCGGGTGCAACAATTATGTTGATTCGCTGTGCTGAAATCCCAGGAATGGCGTGCTGGCGCGATTCAGGATCGTCTAGACGCAACAGTCAGGTTGATCCGTGGCGATGGAATCCCGAGAACAATGTTTGGGCATGCTTCAGGGTCTTCAAACGATTGTCTTCCTAAGCGGCAGTTCTTTTAATGGAAGTGAACCGTTGTAGGGGCCTATGAAGAGGGAGCTTGAAGGGAGGGTTTCTTCCAACATCGTTGATGACTCTTGGGTTTACACTGGTCCTCCTCCTCTTCCTCTTCCTCCTCCTCCTCTTCCTCTTCCTCGTCCTCCTCCTTTTCCCCCTCCTCCTCCAACATGGTTGGAGGCCTGGGCATGGGCACCAACACCAACACAAGGGGTTGCCTCCACAGGGGGGGATGACCCCAGATTCCAGTGTTGGTGGTAAGAGTTCGGCCACCCTGGAAGCCAGAACACAACAGTATCACCATACCCGAGATCAGGGTCTTCTTCTCCGGTGGAGGCGCACCGCCGATCTTGGTGTTGGTGTCATCCGCTGGGCCTGCGACATGGACTCGGGATCCGTGGATCTTGCGCGTGGGCGCCAGGTCCACGGATCGGAGAGGGCACCCCCGACATAGCAGGCCAATGCCGCCTGGCTCGGCGACGGATTGCGCCGGGTTCTCTGGGGCAACGGGACCCGTCGCTAATCCACGCGCCTCAATCCATGTTAGCGTTCCCTCCATGTCGGGGCCAGAATCATGTCATGATCCGATTGGCTCAAGACACCCTCCACGAGTCCCAGAGCATTGCGCGGCCCTCGCTTCTGCGGCCCGTGGGGAGCATCAGGGAATCTTGGAGGTCAGCGAAGGGGGTCCAGCGATTCCAAAGCTCTCTTCCCTTCGGGGAGGGGTACCCTCCCCCATCCCCTCCCTGAGGTTTGGTTGGGGGGGGTCGCGAGGCGGCAGGGCGCCCAAGATGTCCCAATATGGCTCCAAGAGGACGCCCGATGCTACTAGATGGCCTCCAAGATGGCCCATTATGGCCGGAGATGGTTCAAGATAGCTTCCAACATACCTCCAAGACGCCAGACAAGGGCCACAAGATGGTTCCAAGTGCTCTCGGAGCCCCCTTCGGGCCCCCCCGAGAGGCCGAAGCCCTTCAGACGGCTGGAGGAGCAGAATGAGTTGTGTCTTCTCGCCTTTTCGCTGCTGGTGGACTCCTGAGGCCTCGAGATGGCCCCAAGATCGCCCAAGAGCGCCCCACGAGGGGTCCGAGAGGCACCCAAGACGGCCCAAGAGCGCCCCAAGAGCGCCCCAAGAGCGCCCCAAGATGGCCCAAGAGCGCCCCACGAGGGGTCCGAGAGGCACCCAAGACGGCCCAAGACGGCCCAAGAGCGCCCCAAGAGCGCCCCACGAGCGCCCCGAGAGCGCCCCAAGATGGCCCCAAGAGCGCCCCACGAGGGGTCCGAGAGGCACCCAAGACGGCCCCAGAGCGCCCCAAGGTCGGCCCAAGAGCGCCCCGAGAGCGCCCCAAGAGGCGACTCTGATGGCCCCAGAGGGAAGGGGCAAATGAGGGGCCCCTCTCACTTGATCGTAAAACGACGCGAAGATCGGGGCAAAATCGGATCGGGATAACTCGAAATCTCTGAGAATCGGCGGGTTTGGAGGATGTCTTGGGCGCCGTGGCCGCAGGGGCAAATGAGGGACCCCTCTCACTTCATCGACGCCCTACAATCGGGAGCGGCCAAGAGGGGGGTGTCCAAGAGGGGGGGGTGCAAATCATGACCGGCGGCACGTGCGCGGCCCAGCGGGGGGGCCAGGGACGTGATGAAATAAGAAGAGGCGCAATGAAATCTGGGGAAATATATCATGACCCCCGCCATGATATCCACCCACCCCCCCTAGTCATCACCCCCCTCTTTTCCGCCCCCGATACAAGGAAGACCTTCTCAGAAGGCGGGAGGGCTTCTGAGGAGCCCCGCCACCTTCGGAGAAGGCCTGCCGCCTCTCAAACACACCCCGGGCTCACCGCTGACTGCACGTCCGCCCAGACCTCGGCCCCACCTGGGCCTGCGAAGGCTCGGCGCTGTGCCAAGACTCGCTCCCACTCCCCGAGATCGAGACGCGCCCCTTGAAGTAGAGCTCGTCGAAGAGGTCATCCCTCAGGATCCTGTCCAGGTCGTCTCGGAACACATGCGCGTGCGCCTCGAACCACTCCGCCAGCGGGATGGCGCCCCGGGGCCAGACTGGCCGCTGCCTGACGTGCTCGGGGAAGACGTGGGAGTTCGTGTTGACGTCGTAGATGGGCGGGGAGCCAGGGAACCACGTGGCACGCGACCACCCAGAGATCCGCTGTGCTGCTTTGTTCAGCACGGGGCCCCCCGAGGCGCTTCGTCCTGGGTCGGTGCTTGGACTGTCCTGGGGCCCGGGAAAGGCCCCTGGGGGCTGGCGCAGCCTCCCCCCCCTAAACGCTGCCCCTCGAACGTCAGAGCTCGTCGCGCGCGAAGACATCTCCGTACAGTGTGGGCCCGACCCCAACCCAGACATGAGCGCGTCGCAAAAAAATCTGGACGGGACGTTTTTGACAATTTTCGGCCTCGGGGGCCCGCGCCGGGCCGGGGGACCGTCAAAAAACGACTCAGGATGAAAAACGGGTCCCGGGGAAAGTGTCGGGACTTCCAGGGACGCCGTACTGAAAAAATCAGGACGTCGCATGTCTGGGAAGAAACCTCCCACAAGAAACCCAACCCTGAGACCCCAGGACGTCCATGGAACTTTGGCGTGCGAACGTCACGCTCTCCGGAGCAAAACCGTCGAAGCCCAAGAAACCCAGGGCACCCTGGAGGCGAGCAGGGTGTTTCTTGGCATGGGCCCTCACTGTACCTCCGACGGTGTGGCTTCTCAGCGGTCGCCCCCAGAGCTCCTGGTTCACCGAGGAGGGTCCTGCGCCCCGGACCAGCTCTTTGAACGGCCGCGGGGCCCAACGGTGGGCCCCGGGAGGCAAACACCGAAGGAGAGCCCAAGAAACCCAAGGCACCCCGGAGGCGAGCAGGGTGTTTCTTTCGGGTCGGGCGAAAGGGGGGGATAGCAAAGGGGGGGGTTTGAGAATCAGCTCACGTAGCTGATTTTCCCGGCGCCTCCCGGCGCCGGAGGCGGCTATGTATCGAGGAATGGGCCCCTCGGTGAGGCCGAAACCAGCTGCATGCAGCACATTTCGTAACCCCCCCTTTCCCAAACCCCCCCTTTCGCCCGACCCGATTCTTGGCATGGGCCCCCACTGCATCCGCATCCGCGGCCTCGCGGGCCGGGCACCTGGGCACCCGGGCCCGCGGCCCCGCGGCGGATGCGGGGCGCTCGTCTAGTCCGCGGGTGCCCCGCGCGGAGCGCGCCCGTACAACCACGCATCCGCGGGGCCGCACCCCGGAATCCAGACCGCGAGGGCGCGGCATAAGGAAAAATGTTCGCCAATCGCGTTCCCTCGCAAAGTCCGTCTTCAGAACGCACTAGCAAAACGCAATAAACATAAACTTTTGGCGCTCCGCGCAGATTCCTTGGATCTGCACCGGACCCCCCTCCCTGGCGCGCGGAGCGCGCCAGGGGCGGCGCCCGAGGCGCCGGCAGGGGGGCCCAACGCAGATCCAAGAGATCCGCGCGGAGCGCCGAGAGCTTGTGTTTATGACGCTTTTTCTTCTTCGATGGCAATCGCCGCGGGAGCGCAGATTTGGAGTCGATGCCGCGTCGATGCCGTGTCGATGCAGCGTCGATGCGGCGTCGGGGCGTCCGCCGCCCGCGGGTTCCCGGCGGCCCCGAGATGGAGCTCCAGCCGCGGAAGCCGAAGAACGCGTAGGGCTCCACCTCTGGGGGAGAGCAACGGGTGCCAATGCCGCTACCCGTCGGTGGGAAGAAGTAAGCAGAAGCATGAAGTAGGAAGGCGTTGAAAGCAGATTGGGTGTCCGCCCGCCCCCTAAGGAGGAGGGAAGAGGGGAAGCCACTCGATCATGGAAGCAGGAAGGCACCTCACGCAGACTGGAACCTGGGACTCCAAGAACACCTACTTCCAACGACCGACGGCTATTCCCCGGACCTCTTCCGAGGTGCGTTCTGACCACGACTTCGAGGTGCATCCAACGGCGGCGACGAGCCTCCCAGAACAGCGAAAAAAGTGGAAAGACGGGCGAAGGTGGTTGCAAGATGATCGACCCCGATACAAAAAAACACAAGTGGCCATGTTGAACATTCCTTATCAGTTCTTGGACAGAGAACTGTTCGGGAATGACCCAGGTTACCCCTTGTGCTTTCGCGAAGGAATGTCCAGGGCGGCAGATTGCCAAGGAATGTCGTCCACGTCAGAGAATCGACCGTTCGCCATGTCGCTAAGTCTTAGCGTCGCATGCGCCGCCGATCAGGGGGTGGCGGGAAAGAGGAGAAAGAGGAACAGCGACGAGGGCCCGAAGGCCATGGTGCGTTCTGGGACCGATGGCTACTCCCCGGACCTCTTCCGGGGTGGGTTCTGACCAGGATTTCGAGGTGCATCCAACGGCGGTGACGGAAGCCCTCTTAGAACCTGGACCAGCGAAAGAGAGGGAAAAGCGGGCGAAGGGCAGCGGTATGGTCGGCGACTCCGAAGGGTGCGGTTTGCAAAGGGTGTGGTTTGCGGCCGGCACCCTGGGGGGCACCCTGGGGGACGAGCGGGGACCTCGGCTGAGCTCTCCGCCGAGCCCCGAGGCCCGACGAGGACAGCGTCGCGCCCCCCTGGGCCCCAACGGTGCCGATCGCATGCCCACACCCCGGCAGACCCATACCCTCTGCAGTCGCTGACATGGTAAAACACTGCTAGGATCGGAATAAATCGATCCAGAGCGTTCCGGAGCGCTCTCAGAGCGTTCCGGAACGCTCTGGAGCGGCCGCGGCGCCCAATACGTCCTCCAGGCCCGCCGATTCTCGGAGATTTCGAGTTATCCCGATCCGATTTTGTCCCGATCTTCGCGTCGTTTTACATGGGCCCCCCGTGCCCCCGCGGCCTCCTCTCCTCCTCCTCCTCCTCCTGCTCATCCTCCTCCTTTCCTCCTCCTCCGCCTCCTCCTCCTCCTCCTCCTCCGCCTCCTCCTCCTCCTCCTCCTCCTCCTCCTCCTCCTCCTCCTCCTCCTCCTCCTCCTCCTCCTCATCCCCCTCCGCACCTCGCGGAAGAGCCCGTCCGCCCGCTGCAGCAGGCGGGCCGCCCCCGCGGCGTCCGCGCGGCGGGCCGCCGCCTCGAGGCCCACCTTCTGGACGCCCGAAATGGGCACGGAAAAAATGGGCACTGTGCCCAACAACAAATGTTGTCCCAAACCAACAGCGGCCGCTGTTGGGCAGGCGGCCTTCTGTCTCGAACGGACACAGGCCGCGGCGGCGCGGACAGCGAGTCCTGTTCAAAATGAACAGGAACTGCTGTTGGGCATTGTGTCTGTGTTTTTGCCCCTCCTGAACCTCGGCGCAGAGCATGATCAGGTAGAGCCACCGGTCCTGCGGGCGGGCGGCTGCTTCTTCGGCGTTTCGACATTGGGCGGAAGGGTTTTTTGGATTGGACTCGGATTCAGCGCCGGGTTCGAGAACTAGAACCAGCTGGCGAGCGACAGAAGCGCTACAAGAAAACAAACATCTAGGCCACGACAGTCCAGGGCGGAAACCGTGACAGTGCCAGTGTCCTTAAGCTGGAAGGCACCAACTATACACCAACACCGATCCTGGCCAGGATCACCCTGGGCCCAGGATCGGTGTACACGCCCTCCTGCCTTGCGCAAGAAGGCATATACACCGATCCTGGGCCCAGGGTGATCTGGGCCAGGATCCCTGGGCCAGGATCGTTGATGGTGTATAGTTGGGTGCCCTGTGTCGATAATTGGGACGGATTGCTTCGTGCGTGTTTCGACATTGGTAGCGATGGGTGGTACGGCGTGACGCATGGCGGGCGCTGATTCGTATTGGGGTCTGGGCTGTTTTGCGTGCACCTTTCGGTGCACCTTTCGCTACCCCTTGGCTGGGGGCCCTTAGGAGCTTCGTTTGAGGTCTGCTTTGGGCCGAGGGCCTCTTTGGGGCCCTTTGCATGCAACCCTCGACGCCCCCCCCATTTATCGCCCCCCCAGTACCGAACGCCCGAAGGGAGGGAGGGGGTCTAGCTCCGGACCTCTGCTCACTGCGATTGTGTTGCAAGAAAGCGGCCTCTGGGGGAAGCTCCACCCGCTCGAAGCAGGTGTCAAAAAAAAACAATCAAGATCCACTCCATGGGGGGGGTGCGAGGACCCGCGCCGATCGGCAACAACAAAAAAAACATTACTTGGCGGCGAGCGAGGGGGGGTAGCGATTGCAAGCGTGGCCCGCTCATCATTCGCAGCAGAGCGACCGAAACGTGTCCACATACGCGTGTCCGACATGGACAGTCCGCGCTCCTGTTTGCCTCGAGACCCTGGTCCGGGCGCGCTCCAAGAGAGGTCGGGGGCTGGCCCTGCTGGGGACGACGCCGACGCCGACGCCGACGGCCGACCGCCGAAGACTGCCGAGGGCCGCCGCGGGCCGCGCCGAGGGCCGCGCTTTGGCGGGAAGGGCGAAGGAGCAGGCCTGCCCAGAATGACGGAGGACCGGCACACACCCATGCCCGTAGGAGGGAAGGAGAGGGACTGGCTGTGCGGGCTGTCGGACCGCTGGGGAGGCCCCCGTTCGAGCGGGGACCCCCATCCGACAAGACGCACCTATAGACCCTTCCGTCCCCCCTCTGGGTATGGGTGTGTGTGTTGTGTTTCTTCGTCACAGAAGGCGGCGGGACTTCTCAAAGCCCTCGCGCCTTCTGAAAGGTGTTCTGCGTCTTCGGGGGGACGCTCAGAAAGCTTCCCGAAAGGCCCGGGGACTTCCGAGCCTTCTGAGGAGGCCCGCCCCTTCTCACTTCCCCCCCCTCGCTCGCCGCCGGGTCCTGGCAGGCCGACTTGAGGAACGAGCCGACGGGCACGGACCACCGCCAGGAGACATCTACGTTCACAGTCGGGGCTCAAGGCTCGAAGGTCTCCGGGGCGTCGCCCGCCCCGTCAAAGCCTCTGGGGGGGGGCCTCTCGTCGCCACGGCTGGCTCCGCCTCGGAGTCCTGGCCAGAGCGCACCCCGGAACAAGTCCAAGGTTCGCTGTTTGACCCCCAATACCTGGACCCTGTTCGCGTCGTGGACCAACAAATTACTTCGACGGAAAGACCCCACATGAAAATCCTTTCGGCCAGTCTGGAAATAACCTTCACTGTCGCCCTCGCGATTCGTGAGGCGCCCTTGCTGTCTTCTCCGCGTCATGCTCACTCTCGCCCTGGCGCAGGGCCCTCGCCCGCTCCCCACGTTGCCCTTGCCT